TCAGCTGCCGAGTTGCCTTCTCTGAGAGTGTGTTGCACAGTACATGCAATGAAAGTGTCCAAACTCAACTTTTTATTTATATACAGAGGATAAATACTTTTCTTTTTTAAAATTTATTCCCACTCCAAATAGACAAGACAAAAACAAAAAGGTCAAAGGTGATGGAATATTAAAGGAGGATGGCTAGCAGAGTACTGAGGTCTCTCTTTTTCCTGTATAAATACTCATCGATGCTGTAGGCAAGAGGAATTCATTCCAACACCCTCTGTACCGTTGATATATCATATCATGGCACCATCCTTCCTCATCCTCCTACTGCTTCATTATCTCCATGCCTTTGCTTCTTCCCAAAGAGTGAATCAAACCGAGTCTCTTCTAAAATGGAAAGCTAGTCTCCACTACAAAAGTCGAACCGCACTCTCTTCCTGGGTTGGGGACAATCCTTGTAGTTGGGATGGAATCACCTGTGACAAGGCTGGAAGCATCACCAATTTAAACCTTTCAAGTAATGGTTTAAAAGGTACACTTCACAGTCTCGATTTTCTTGCCTTTCCTACTTTGATGGAGCTTCGACTTCCTAATAATTCATTGTATGGGACAATTCCCTCCAGTATAGGTAGGTTGTCCCAACTAAGAGTTCTTCACTTGGATTTCAATGATTTCTTAGGAAATATTCCATCAGAGATAGGATTGTTAAAGAGTCTTAGTGTCCTTTCCCTTTATGGAAATCAGTTAAATGGGTCCATTCCTAAAGAAATAGGAATCCTTGAGTCTCTCAAAGAAGTTCATTTATCAAATAACAATCTTTCAGGTCCAATTCCTACTTCTATAGGAAATTTGAAAAATCTATCTCACCTCTATCTTTACGAAAATATGCTTTCTGGTTCAATACCTCAAGAAGTAGGAATGCTTAGATCTCTAATTGAACTTTCCTTATCAAGGAACAATCTTTCAGGTCCAATTCCTACTTCTATAGGAAATTTGAAAAATTTGTCTTTCCTTCATCTTTTCCAAAACAAGCTTTCTGGTTCAATACCTCAAGAAGTAGGAATGCTTAGGTCTCTTAGTGACCTTGATTTATCAAGTAACAATCTTTCAGGTCCAATTCCTACTTCTATAGGAAATTTGAAAAATCTATCTAAACTCTATGTTGAAGAAAATATGCTTTCTGGTTCAATACCCCAAGAAGTAGGAATGCTTAGGTCTCTTAGTGAACTTTTGTTATCAATTAACAATCTTTCAGGTCCAATTCCTACTTCTATAGGAAATTTGAAAAATTTGTCTCTCCTTCATCTTTTCCAAAACAAGCTTTCTGGTTCAATACCCCAAGAAGTAGGAATGCTTAGGTCTCTTAGTGAAGTTGATTTATCAACTAACAATCTTTCAGGTCCAATTCCTACTTCTATAGGAAATTTGAAAAATCTATCTTACTTGTATCTTACCGAAAATATGCTTTCTGGTTCAATACCCCAAGAAGTAGGAATGCTTAGGTCTCTTAGTGTACTTTCCTTATTAACTAACAATCTTTCAGGTCCAATTCCTACTTCTATAGGTAACTTAACACGTCTTCGTTCGTTGAATCTTTTGAAAAATAATTTGTCAGGTTTGATTCCTATAGAAATAAGTAATCTCACTCTTTTGGAAATTTTACAATTAGGTGATAACAAACTCAGTGGGCATATACCAGAGAAATTGTGCCTTGGGGGACTTCTCCAATACTTTTCAATACCAAACAACCATTTGATAGGTCCAATTCCAAGGAGTATGAGAAATTGCACTAATTTAGTTAGACTTCGACTTGATGGAAACCAACTTACAGGCAACATTAGTGAACAATTTGGAGTTTACCCCAACTTGAATTTCATTGATTTAAGCCATAACAATCTGTATGGTGAGCTTTCTCCTAAGTGGGGGCAATGCCATAATTTAACAAGCTTCCAGATCTCTCACAACAACATAACTGGAAGGATACCTGTTGAGCTAGCGCAGGCTACTCGGTTACAACGACTTGATCTTTCTTCAAATCGTTTCAGTGGTGAGATTCCACAAGAGTTAGGAAGGCTGACATCTTTGAGCATTCTCATACTGAATGATAACCAACTTTATGGAAAAATTCCATCCAATATTAGAAGCCTGTCATCTTTGGAACAACTTAACTTGGCAGAAAATGATATTAGTGGACCAATTCCTACAACAATTGGGGAGTGCTCGAGGTTACGGGACTTGAACTTGAGCAATAATAAGATTGGGGAAAATATTCCGTTTGAAATAAGCACAATAAAAAATATCAGAAATCTTGATTTGAGCCAGAACCTGCTCACAAGAAAGATTCCCTCTGAGCTTGGGGAACTACAATATTTAGAAGTTTTGAATCTTTCTCACAATAATCTCTTTGGTCGAATTCCAGATACTTTCGACAATTTGCAGAGCTTAACAAATGTTGACATATCCTACAATCAGTTGGAAGGTCCAATTCCCCACCT